GCCTAACTTGAAGATGTTTGACAGGGGTCTTCATTTCAAATGGGCTTTGACATCTTTGAAATTCGATAGATGAAAGCCTGACCTGAGAACGCCTGAGGACGCTTGACCTGAGAACGCCTGACCTGAGGACGCCTGACCTGGGAACGCCTGACCTGAGTTCGCTTGAGGACACCTGACCTAAAAATGCTTGACCTAGGAACGCCCGACCCGAGAATGCCTGACCCGAGGACACCTGACTTGAGAACGCCTGACCCAAAAATGCCTGACTCGAGAAAGCCTGACCCGAGAACGCCTGACACGGGTCTTCATTTCGCCTGACCTGAGAACGCCTTACCTGGGAACACCCGACCTGAGACGCCTGACTCGAGAACGCCTGACCCGTGAACTCCTGGCAAGGGTCTTCATTTCAAATGGGCTTTGACATATTTGAAATTGGAAAGATGCGCGCCTGACCTAAGCACGCCTGACCTGAGAATGCCTGACCCGTGAACGCCTAACCTGAGCATGCTTGACCTGATAACGTCTGATCTGAGGACGCCTGATCTAAGGACGCCTGACCTGATGATGCTTGACTTGGGAATACCCGACCTGAGAACGCCTGACCCAAGAACTCCTGACAAGGGTCTTCATTTCAAATGGGCTTTGACATCTTTGAAATTGGAAAGATGCACGCCTGACCTGAGCACGCTTGACCTGAGAACGCCTGACCCAAGAACGCCTGACTTGAGAATGCTTGACAGGGGTCTTCATTTCAAATGGGCTTTGACATCTTTGAAATTGGAAAGATGAACGCCTGACCTTAGAATGCCTGAGGACGCTTGACCTGAGAACGTCTTACCTGAGGACGCCTGACCTGGGAATGCCTAACCTGAGAACGCCTGACCTAAGTTCGCCTGAGGACGCCTGACCTGAGAACGCCTGACTTGAGGACACCTGACCTAGAAACGCCTGACCCAAAAATGCCTGGCTCGAGAAAGCTTGACCCGAGAACGCCTGACACGAGTCTTCATTTCGCTCGACTTGAGAACACCTGACCCGAGAATGCCTGACCGGAGAATGCCTGACAGGGGTCTTCATTTGAAATAAAAAAAATTGAGTGCTCCGGAGCACCAGATCCATGGGCTATATAACACACGAAGAATCAATGATTTTGGGTACTTCTTGAAAAAAGACCTGTAAATGCGAAAATAGGCATTAAAAAATTGTGTGAGTTACAATTGCCTGCCTGACCTTTTTCGTTAATTAATGAACTTCGTAATCTTAACGAACTAAAATAATTAACTTAATTATATATTTTTGAAATTTATCTATTTTCTATATAGTACTAGATACGGACTCGGTGCCAGCACAAACCCAATATATAATTCACTGTCTCAATGTGATATATACCAGATTTTGAGATTTAAACAAATCTATCTTTGATCGTAAATTTTTCATAAATCTTTTAAATAATTTGAATAGTCAATTATTGTGACTTATAGTGTTTTTTACGTAGTTTACAAATATATAAATTTATTTTTAAAAAATTAAAGATTTCATAAGCAAATTCTCGGTCAAACTTAAACTCTCAAAAACAAAATGTGTCACATAAATTGAAACAGAGGGAATATTATTTTTTATTTTAATTCATGTGATACAAATAGAACTTGAGAAAATATTCAAACTTTAAGTTATTAATTATTGTGATTTATAATATTTTTTACATAATTTTATTGAAACAATATATATTATTTTATTTCTCAATTTATGCGGCACATATTTAAATATTTTAAATTACTAATTATTGTAATTTGTAGTACCTCTTACGTAATTTTTAAATAATATATATTACCTCTCATGTCTCAATTTATAGGACATTGATATGGCCAAATGTTTTTATGTCTTTTGAATATTGTAAGTTATTTATTAACGTAATACTTTTTACGTTATTTTAATCAAATGCGAAATATCTTAAAGTTTTCGAAATAATATTTTTTCTTCAAAAATAACAAAAAATACATTCTGATGGGATGAATGGGTCCGGAAAAGTCCTAATAACAAAACTTTTATACCTTTTTAGACATTTAAAAAGGGTCAAACTTCAGTTTATTTACTAATGTGCACCAATGGATTTGATGTAAAATGGTGCCAAAAAAAAAAGGGGCAAATGCATCTTTGAAAAAGTAGTGTATTACCAACAAAATGACACCGTGGGAATTAGAGGAAAAAACATGAAGCAGACAACTCTCAAAGCAAATTGTACTACCAATCAAAGCAACGTAAAAGCAAAATTACCCAGTAAATTACCAACTTGTCCTTTGTCTAGGAAGCAATTAAGCAAATTTTATAACAGACATAAACAAATGAAAAATGATTTACTGATAAAAACATACTGAAATATGACATATTATTTAATTCATATTAATCCATCCATTTGAACCCAATTAAATATTAAGGGGACTATAACCAACCCATTTATTGCATAATGATTCAATCTTATCAAATTTCACATATTTGAAACATTACATTTAAATTCACTAGAAAGATAATATCGAAATGGTTTCTCTCCACTGATTTCTTTAATACTCCAATTCCATCACTCTCTACAAGTTTTTTATTTTCATCAAAACTAAACATTTTGTATTATTGCGGAACCAAGAAAAAACAAGAATGTTACTCATGAATAAGCCTGGACCATGAATTTTATATCATCCCCAATCTTCTACCCAGAAGATGAACATTCAGGAACCTCAAGTGAAATTCAATCCACAAAATAATGTAATCTATGAACAGCGTCGTTGTGGTAAATTTGACACTGTATTTGATTTGGTAGCGGATAATTCAGAGGGATTATAAGCAAATCTGTTTGAGTTACAATGTCATTAAATATTGAGGAGATAGTGTTTGATGAAAGTCTCCAGCGAAATGAGTTTGAGTTACAATGTCATTAAATATTGAGGAGATAGTGTTTGATGAAAGTCTCCAGCGAAATGAGTTTGAGTTACAATGCCAATTTTGACATCTGAAGCTTGTTGTAACTGATGATAAATCTGTTATACCATGAGATTTTCAATATCTCTTCAACCAGCCATCTTTATTCGATTTTGGGATCTAGCAATGTGTGAGTGCATGAAAAATGGCTTATCCACTTGTTATTGGTTCGAAGCATTTATCTCAGTTCATTCTCTTCGATCGTGTTCCGGCATATATGGTAATCTTTTGTACGTGCTGGAATTTGACGAGAATGGTGCATGTGTTGGTGCTAGTCTTGCTTTTGGGGCTCAAGCTGGTGGTGTCATAATTGTTGGCCATGGTGAGACCTTTCTTCTTAGAGATGCCCGTAGGATTTGCATGTGGTGCTTTGAGTTTGTTTTCATGAGGCAGTCCGCTATCAGTGTACAGACTCGTCGTAGGTACTTCCTATTATTTCCTGTCATTTAAGACATGCTAGCATACTTTGCACATCAGCATGCTATTACTCTATGACTAAAGGGTGGGATCTTACATTAGTGAGATAATTGAACATCAAATTGCTGGTGTAATTATTAGTGATATATCCTCATTCCTTGCAAGGCTTACATTGAGTGTGGATATACTCTGATTGCAATGTATCAGAGGACAGTTGTCTGATTGTCACACGGTTTTGGATAGAATACCAAGGACTGTGTTGTTTGTTGGATTGGATGGATAGAGGCTTATGAACGAGCATTCAACTGTGAGGGAGTATTCAGTTTGTTCTTCTTAATACAACATGGATACGTTATACTCTTGATAGTCATTTGCAATGCAAATCCGTTCATTCCATTTGTGGGGGTTCTGCTATGTTCAATGCTTGTCACTTTCTTCTGATGGTTTCTCTCAAGAACAAGACTTCTTCCTCGACTTTCATTCCTTGTGCTATTGTAATACTTAAGAAATACAATATTGGTACATGGATAGCTACAAAATGTGCAGCTTATTCAAGTATTAACTTACAACTGAGTGAAATTGTCGAGATAACTTACAGGGACAAAGCTTATTAGTACTGGTGTCGCAACATATGAACTCACCCGACCAGATTTGTGGATGGCGACAATCAATCTTGCTGGCCCTTTAGATTTACTTTTACTGCTTACTCTTATGTAGGGTGTTCCCCAGCTATGCCTCTGCTTTTAACAGTATTATGACATTATTCCTTGCTCAAGATGTTGCCTTCACTCAACATGTGCCAGTTGGCTCCTCCTATATCGCGTGAGAAATTCACTTCTTCTATGACACTTGGTTTGGGCTACTTGGCTTGCTTGCTGAAAGGAGGTACTTCAGGAATTCTTCAAGTGCATACAACTGATCTTGAAGGACGTTAGGAACAAGCAAAGCAGTTGGTCAACACACATTTTGATCACTTTGTACCTTGTGAAACAATGATTTATTGTATACAAGAGTTCAGCTTACTTTTCACTGTGCATTTGAGTTGCTATGCGCAAGTTTGGTGCAGAAAATGTTTCCGAGGTTATGAATATTACTTCACTTCCCTAGTACTACCCATGAGTGCATTCATAACGGTGTATATGGCCTAATAATAAGGGAGCACAACAAAGCAGAATCAAATATTTTCCCCCTTCTCATATGTTAATACTACCATGTGGCCATTAGGAGAGTGACAGAATAATGCAAGCATCTACAAATCTCTGTGAGCCTACTGGAGCCAATGTTGTAGCTGTAGCAGGCTACAAGACTCTTCTTATGGAATTGTTTTGTAGGGTATTGCTAAGGAGATTCTTTGGACACCAAAGTAGTGTCCCAAGGTCTATCACGGATTCATAGAATGTGAGGAAGTTCTTTGCCTATGTTCAGTTATGGGCTTCTGACAATGATGTTGTTGATTTAGGCTTTACTACTCGAACCTTGAGGACAAGGTTCTTATTAGGGCCGGAGGTATTCTCATGAATGAGTCTGTACCAGTATTGACAAAGCAGCCCACCAATACCATATTAAGTGGCTCTGCTTGGGATCCAAGTTGATATATAGCTACTTGTGGGAGCAAAATAGGTTTATGCGAATATTGTTGGAGTGTCAGTATCTCCTCATTCCCGTTCTATCTGTTATTCTCACCCCCCTTTTTGAGTCTACGCTTCTCATTTCCCTTCTATCCTTAGTTACTATTCCTTGTTATCCTTTCAACTACCTTGTTGATCTTAAGCTTTCCATTGTAATAGTTAGTTTGAGCATGCAATCAAAGGAATTGATTCCTTGTAGTTGAGCATTCAAGTGTTCACTTCAGAAGATCTCTCAAGAATGGTTCAGTTTCGCTAATTCAGGTAATATATTCTCTCATTTTTATTTGTTATTCAAATAAGAGAACAAAGGAATTTTGAATAATGGGGTTATTGGGTACAGATGTAGATGAAAGCCTCACTGGAGGAGATGCCATCAAGTTATTTGCCATGTCCAATTTGCCTCGTCAAGAGCTCAAGCAGGTTCTTTTCTTTTCTACTTCCTTTATTTCCTTAATATCGTTCACTTGTACCCAATAACCCCATTATTCAAGTGAGCCGTTATTTTCTTAGATAGTGTATATATGGTCAAAATTATTTTATTATATGGCAGATCTTGAATCCTCTTGACTTCTTCGTATGCTTGCTTCTTTATATTTTGAATCTCCCTATTGAAAATCCTGTCTCTGCCATTGCATGCACCTGTCTAGAAACCTTGTTTTAATGTTTGTCAATGCTTTGGCAAGAGCTCAAGTGCAGTATGTGCTTTGTCTCAAGTTTGTAACACCGACAGCCAATTAAATAATTTGAAAAAAATGAATATAACTTAAATAATATGGTGAAACTGGCTACTGGGTGAAAATAGCACCTTCTTTTATACATATACCTTTGTGTTGCCAGAATTGTGCAATGAATTTACAGATAAACTGATTTTAAACAATTTTAGAAGTTCTCAATCTCGCGTAACACACACATAATCTGGCTGTGAGCTGAAAATCCTATAGTATTTTGAATTTAGACAGTGTTAGCACTAGTTAAAATGCATGTTTTTAGCGGACTGTGCTATGCTCATATAGAAGTTTGACACATGAAAGATGTTCGAACAAGGTACGTACTAAACAATTCACGAGGACTACAAAATGAACAATTTCCTTTATTACAATGGATAGATACAAATAACAGATAAATTGAAAACCAAAGCTGAACTAGAGAGCCTTTGGATAATCAGCAATCCTCTCAAAGGCAAAATTCCCTTTCTTTTCATCATTACTGGGGAAGATGGCAATACTAATAAACAATACAGGGACAACAAATTAATAGGAAATGAAAAGCTGCAAAATTTAGAGCCGGGATGATCCAATAGGATGATGTATGACAATGTTATTGTAGGCATCAAGAGTCATAAAATCATCCAAAACTGGTGCAGTGCATTGCCCTGTGAATAACTTGCAAGCCACCTTGTACATTCCCTTCTTGAATTTCTCCTTTCCAACTTCTCTCTCAATCCTAGCCATTTCATCCTCAACCACTCTTCCAAACAGGTCTAAGTTCACTTTCACCCCAAGTCCATCCCCATCCAATTCCACACCATATTTCAGCCACTGCCAATTCTGGACTCTGCTAATCTCAGCTGCAGCAGCTTCCTCCATGAAGTTGTAAAGAGGGACACAACCAAGCCCTGTCAGCCAGGCTGCCAAGTACTGAATTCCCACTCGGGTGTTCAGCCGAAGGCACTCCAAGGTACAGACCCCTCTCGGCCTCTGCAGCAGGTCTTCTTCATCTAGAATGGATGCATCTCGACGCTTCATGGAATGGATTTGGTTTGGGGAATTGCCCATGTTGTTAGTGAAGACTTCCATGCATGCTGGAACTAGGCCAGGGTGAGTAACCCATGTCCCATCATGCCCCGCCGTCACTTCTCTTAGCTTATCCTTCCTTACAAGTTCCAATGCTGCCTCATTAGCTGCTGGATCATCTCTAATTGGAATATGAGCTGCCTGTTTCAAGGATCCAACACAGCTATTATGCATCAATTTGATCATGTACAAGAAGATTCCAAATTAACCTAATGCAGAAATTGGAAATTACTCCAGATGTTTTTTTTTTTCAGATATTGTAAAACTAATAAAATAAAATAAAATTGGTGTTGGGTTGATAATCACACAAGTATCAAAGGATGACAATATTGCAGCCAACACACTAATCGGCTTACGATCTGTCATACATATCAACAACCGCTAAAGTATTTCCTATTGTACTCCTACATCGCTCCAATGTGGGAACGATCATGTGCGTACTTTTTAATATCATAACATCCTACTAGCATGCAAATGTTTTCGTGTCCATATGTTTGGTAATTTATACATTTTATTTGAGTTCCTAATAAAAATAATACAAATATGCTTGTGTAAAATTATTTAAAGAACATAGAATTAAAAAAAGAAACTGAATTGATGTAGACATACCATGCCTCCCATAGCATGAACGCCACGCTTATGACAAGTGTGGATGAGCAAGTCGGAGTAACTCCTCATAAAGTGTTGAGCCATGCCAACTTGTGTCCTATCGGGGAGCAATCGATCAGGGTGACCCTGGAATGTCTTGATGTAGCTGAAAATGTAATCCCATCTACCACAATTGAGGCCAACAGAATGGTCCCTCAGTTCATACAAGATTTCATTCATCTGAAACACAGCTGGAAGTGTTTCAATTAGGGCAGTAGCTCTAATGCTTCCTTTCTCAATTCTAACCCATTTCTCTGCCCTCTCAAACACATTGTTCCATATCCTAGCTTCCCTGATCAAACAAAACAAAAACTGCTACATTTTCTTGGAATATAATTCTCAAGACTACATAAATTTACTAACAAGAACACAACTAACCTAGAATGTTCCATTTTGGGTAGATAGAAAAAGGGTCCAGATCCTTGACCTTGGGCCTTGCGGAAGTTGGCATAGTTGTGGAAAAAGTAGAGGCCGAAGTCGACAAGGCAACCCGTGGCAGGCTCACCATCAATGAAGATGTGAGCTTCTGGCAAATGCCACCCTCTTGGGCGCACAAACAACTTAGCTGTCTGATCATTCAGTTTATATACTTTATTTCTGGCTTGATCATGGAATGTTATTGTTCTATTGACTGCATCCCTCAAATTTATATGGCCTCTCATTAGATTCTCCCAGCTTGGTGACAGTGCATCTTCAAAGTCCGCCTGTGGAATATTATATTATGAACTGCATTACAATGATATGCAGAAAGAAAAACAAAATGCACATATTCTGGATATGCTTCCACTCCAAATTGAGGTTAATTACTTACATAAAGGTCTAGTGCTACCATTATTTTTGCTCAATTATTTCCTTCAATGTAATTCACACTGGCCTTTTTTTCGTTTTTCTTAGTTATATTAAAATGAGAGTTCTGTTCTACTATTAACTTGGGAAGGGAGATGCGACAGGGGATATGGCATACCATGAAAACTTTGGCTCTAGAATTAAGGGCATCGATGACCATCTTCCTATCGACTGGTCCAGTAATCTCCACCCTCCGATCAGCCACAGCCTGCGGCACAGGAGCACACACCCACTCTCCTTCCCTAATATATTTGGTTGTTGGATCAAAACCCGGCAAACTGCCATTATTGTACCTCATTTTGGCCTCTCTCCTGCACTCCATAGCATACTTGATATGATTCCTGAATTCCCTCTGCAAACTAGCTACAAATTGCAAAGCACCCCTAGTTAAAATCTTGGAAAATTCAGGATCATATCTTCCCCTAATTTCCACTCCTTCAGGTACATCATAACCTATAATTCCACTGCTCTTTTTTGGAACAGTGGTTTTGGGTTGAGTGAATGTCTCTTCAAAGCTAGCCATTTTTTCTTCTTTTTGGTAATTTCAACTAACAGTTAATGTACTTGTTTCTTTCTTTCTTTTTTTCTCTCTGAACAGACTAGGTAGCTGATGGCTGCAATTTATAGGGGGGAACATGAGCTTTAGCTAGCGTTTCACTATAAATTTAAAATTTATTTTCAAATATCTGTTTAGCTATGAAATTTGACAATTAAAATATTTTCAAGTTATTAAAAACTCGTTCAAATTAGTCTTTAGATTTTTGAGACTTCCCCTCACAATTTAAAAAAATTCAGTTGAAATGCATGTTCAAACACAATTTAAAAAACTAAACCTTAAAAGTTTTAACTTCAAAATTTATGATCAAACGGGAGCTTAAGTTAATGAAATTTATAATAATGTGGATAGCTAATGATTGCATGATTTTTATTTTTTTTTATTTTTATTCAATAAAAGAAGAATAATATGTGGATAACTAAGGATTTCATGAGTCCCCTTATAATATATTCAGCAAAGCTTATCAATATGTGATTGGTTGAAAGTCCCTTATCTTTTTTTTGTGTCCCCTTTATTTATTTTATTTTAATGTTTTGTCCCTTGGGAAAGCTTGATGTAATTGATAAAGTTATTGTCATATAATCAGAAGGTAACATATTCAATTTGTGGAAATAGTCTCTTATAAAATAGTACAAGATAAGACTACACACAATAGATATTTACAATCCGACCTTTTCCTAAACCATATTCATAGCTAGACCTTGAAGGCACGGATGAGTCATTTTCAACTTTCAAAAGTCTTTTCCAAATCCAAGGAGCCAAGTTGTAAATTCGTCCATCCCAGTGAGGGATGCAGCTAGTCGATAATACATTCGGATCATTCCAGTGCTTCGAGCATAGAGTATATAGAAGAACATGTGAATCCAATTAGTAGCAAATTTACATATTAAAAATGAGATGCGTAAATTTGTCTTCTCTTTGTAAAATTAGATATTTTAGGTATGTATTTTCTAAAATTGATATAAAATATGTGTCTGCATCTAATATCTATGCTTTAAAAAAGCTAATTGATGCATTTGGTTGAATATTGAGTTATTTACACAGAGGACAAGCAATCAATTCCACTTGATGCATTTTTTCCGAGTTAATATCTTAAATAGTCACTCAACTTTGAATAATTCACTTATAAAGTCACTCAGCTTTGAGTTTTGCACTTAAAAAGTCACTCAACTTTGTTTTATAACTCAAAAGTCACTCAACTATTAATATTCACTTTGAAAGTCATCCAACAAAGTTAAATAATTTATTCATTAAATTTTGTTGAAATCTAATTTTTATTTTACACTGTTCTTTTAAGAAATAATAAGATATCTATTTTAATTATCTTATTGATCCGCTCCAATTATTTAACTACAATTTTTTTGAAAAACTTACATTAGCAATTGACGAAAAAAATTGCTTTTCCATTCTAGCAATTGTCTTACAAGAATTAAACATGCTGGAAAATTGTCCAAAAAAAGAAAAGGTTAGAATTGATCAGAAGTAATTAAAGAGTAATCAAAAAGACGCATAATAGCAAAAAGCAATGTTTTATTATTTTTCAAGAAAATAATTTTAAAAAAATTGTATTCAACAAAATTTAATAAAATAATTAAAATGAGTATTTGTTTATTTATTCTTTAAAATTAGCTCAAAACAAAAATTGTATTTCAATAAAATTAATGAAAATATTATTTAAATTAGTTGAGTGACTTTCTAAGTAAAATATCAATAGTTGAGTGACT